AGGTGTATTAGTTAAGGATAGGGGGGAAAATAGCCTAGCAGGGCTGATTTTCAAAAGCAACCTGCCATTTTGCTTCTGCAAATAATTATAGAGACACATTCTAACAGTTAGATGTCTAAGTGCTTCTGTCCATCTACTAGGAAGTTAGAGATCTAACTACAATAAAATGTGTGCAAACTTGCAGAACTGGAAGGAGGTTTGAGATGCTTCTAAAATTGATCAATCAATCAGCAGCTGGACGATTTTCCAAAAGCTTATGAGAACAAAATGTCTTTCTTTTTTTTTTTTTGCATGAGGTCAGAATTGTCCCAAGAAAGAATCCTGGAGCCCACAAGATAAGGGTCTTTGGAGATTCCTGGATTGATGTGAAAGAAACAATCTGCTCCTGCTGGGGTTTCATATTTGTACAAGGAACGCAAAATAGGGGCTGGACTATGGGCACACTGTGCTTGCTGGCTTCCTGTGGCATTGTAACTACTTTGGCATCTCAGTTTGTCTGTTCAGTTTGTCAGCTGTCTGGGACTGCTGTGTGCTTGCAGCTGTGTTGTCCTTGTACCCACCCTGTGCCAGCTGCCTGTGTAAGTGCCCACAGTTGGTAGCTTATTAGAAATACAGACTCTATCAGGTACCTGGAATAGGAAGTCTGGAAGTGAGAAAGAAGATGGCCTCTTCTGAATAATTTTAAGTCCTCTGCCCAGAGTGGCAAAAGCAGCATCCAACACTGGTTACCAGACTCAACATTTCTGTTCCTTTCTGTCCTTCTGTGTTGCTGCCCAGGTCAGTACCAAGCAAGAAAGCATTCTTTGATGAAGAGGCATAAACTACTGTCTCCTCTTTTCCAGAACAGGGACTGTTATAAAAACCAAAAGATTTAGTTCTGGTGAGGGCATGTAGAGTGAATTTTGGAAATGCTGCACAGCTTTTACAAAGTATTTGGAAGATGTCCTAGAAAGAGAAAGAATAGGATATGACTCTATGTGTGACTCCCAGAAGCATAAGATCCTCTCTGTTACTCATGCAGGATGGAACAGAAAAGATCTATCACTAATGTTCAGTTTGCAAATACTTTTCACTTAAATATTTGACAGAAGTAAGTTTCCTTGCTTTATTTAGTGTATTTTAGATCTAAGAAATGATAATTGGTGCATATTTGAAAAACTACTCATCTCTTGTGGCTTGCTATTAACTTACCAGAAACTGGCCCTTAGGACAAAGTGGCCTGACTCCCATGCAAAGGGTTGTTGGAGTGAACACAAACACGACAGACTCCTATTTTAAATCCTCTTTATATTGCCAGTGTAGTGCAAAGTGGCTGTGAATCTAAGAATGAACCCATTTAAAATGTCTATAATGCAATAAAAATTGCTGGTGATTACTGTGTCATATTGCCCCTCAAACTAAACTTTGCATTCAAGGATAAATGTATTCACAAATCGTAGTTGCTGTTCACACACACAAAAGTGAAATTGTTCATTCATTTGAAATTGTTCATTCATCTGGGAAACTTCTCCCACCCTCATCCTCTCTCTTGCAATTACCCTTTGCCCCTTTCCTCCAGAAGCTATTTCTTCCTAGCTGGTATGTTTAACCATCCTTCAAAAGATGGCCTGGCTCCTGCTGCCCATCAGATATGGGCTAGACTTGACAGAAGGCCATCACCCAAGGAGGGCTGAGTCTTGGAACCAGGGTTTGCAAAGGGTCTCCACCAGCACTCAACCTCTGCAGTGATAAGGGTTACTGTTTCTCTCAGCTTAGCAGAAGCACAAGAGATCCATCTTCACCCCATCCCTGCAGAAGCATGCCCTTACCAATTAGCCAGATAGCCTTCAAAGGTGAGCTGAAGATTTAATGGGCAGCTTAGACCAGCCTAAAATGTAAAGGTAGCCAAACATTTTGCAGTCTTCCAGCAGGAAGGAGGCAGGAGGGCAGGAGTGGAGGGGCTGCAGCCAGGGAGACAGGTGAAGTGGCCTGGGGCCTGCAAAGTGGAGGCCACTGCTGGGCCATTTACCACTTATATAGACAGCAGCTTTAAGGCTGGGAGGTGCCTGATATACAGGCAAGCAGACTACTGCTGCTACAGCTTACTCCTGGCAGCTTTTGAAGTAGACAAAATGGTGCAAGAAGGCTTAGCAATCTATCAGATGGGTTTTCCACTCCACCTCTGGAGAATAAATGAGACCGCAAAAGGGGATTGATTTTCTGGTCAGTCTGGCTCATCAACTCAATGAGCAGTTCACTCATCTTCCTTTCAGGGTCATCAGTGTATGTCACTGTGCCCTTCAGGACATTTTCTGTTTCAAGGTTTGCTCAGTTTTCAGTTAACCCGCACAGAGTTAGTAGTTTGTCCTGGGAATGCTGGTGCCTGACTTGCCACGTAACTTGAGAAGAGATAGCTTGACAGGGAGTTAAAAATACACACTGTGGAGATCTGCTTCCTAGTCCCTCTCTTGGGGACCATATATGACAGTGGTGGAGCCTTTGGAACATGTAGCATGAGCTGACAGTCTAATCTGAAGTCACTCCAGTTGGGTACAAAGACTACTTTAGGAGAATCTTGCCTGTTTATATAGGTTTCAGATTACTTCATTTTTAGAAGTGTATGGAGTACATCCAAAGCAAATAATTTTTGTCTGGTAAATGGGAAGACCAAAGGAGAAGTCCAGAGAAAGAAGGATGGATGGTCTTTCTTAATGTCAAAGCTGGCATAAACACATCTCTTCCAGACTCTTCTCACAAGATAATTTTCTCAGCAAGACACAGAGTACTTCTGTGTTGTAGTCTTTGAAGCTTCCCCCTCATTGCTATAATGAAGGAGGCATGGTTTTCTTTGAGAATTTCTGCAGCCCTGAAGTTTGCCTTCTCCAAAGGCCTTCACATTGTCAGATGGTTGTTCCAAAGCACTTTCTCTTTGAAATTCCTCTGCCATCACACAAAGGCAAACTGGTATGTCTGCTTGGCAAAATTATTAAATTAAAAAACAAACAAACAAACAGACAAACAAAAAAGTCTTCATTAAAGATATTCTGACTAGCCCTAGGCCTCAATTTTCATTAGACAGAGGCCCAAGTAAGAAGATGACAAATGGTGTTGGAAAGGAGCCATCAATTAGGAAACATCAATTTTTCTGTCAACAGGATAACTCCTTTTATAAAACTTTTCATATGTTTACTGCTTTTCTGTTTGTGAAGGTAGTTGTTTGACAGCAACATTTTGCATGAGGGGAAGGATTTATAATTTTTTTTTTTACAGTTGGCATTGCTGCATTGTTTTTAGTTCCTGTTTTGCAGGATATTTTCCCTGTTCAAGGTGCTTGCTGCTCAGTCTGTTGTCTGTAACTCTTCCACTTGTAATAATAGGAGAGAGAGCAATAACCCTTCTTATTTCTGCAGGAAGTTCTGGGGTGAAAACAATTGTGGTGTTAGGGGGCACTTTGTGAGCATAGGACTTATGGCTTGCAATGCCTTCAGGTAGCTTAGAAATGCTACTATATGTGTGTTCCAAAAAGGAAGAGAAACATACTTCTGAGCATTTGTTTAAAAAATATGCTTGTTATGCTTACATCCTAATAAATCTTCTTCCGTATTTAATAATCTAGGATACTGATTAGGAAACTGAAGATATATGGGTCTTCTTCCAGTTAACACATTTTCTCTACCCGCATTCAGAAAAGTTGATAGTTTTCACATCTCCTTTTACTGTATAGAAAATTTTACTCACTTTTCTTATGGAAAGCTGTATACACCCTTCATTCATCTACATGTGTGTTATATTTGGCAACAGAATGAGAAGGACAGATAGCTAGTGAGATTTCAGATGGGCACTGGTAGATGCTGACATGACCTTAAAGGCTGTCAGTTGCTTATGTGGGAACCCTGCTTCAGGAAATGGAGCATTATGATGTCTTTTGAGGTGTGGCTGAGAAGCTACATGTAATGTGTATCTTCTGGGTCACCACTGCCTTATTGTTTACCTGTGTTGTGGAGAGGGGGAGACTTTGTGTGAAATAGTTAAAGAGTGGAAGGTCATTATTTTGGTCAGTGGCCATTATTGGTAGGTCAGGTACACATATCATCATCTGGTGTCAGGTCATGCAGCTCAGTGCTCAGCAATCAGCTGCTTTGAATACGTGCATTAGTGAGTGCACTTGTTTTATCCTGGATGCAGACCACATGCAGATCATCCACTAGTGTCTAACACAGGCATACTTATGCTTCCACCTGTCCCTGTCTGGTCTCAAGCACTCATTACTGTTATGACACAAGACACGATAGTAATCATCTCACTGCCTCTAATGTGTGATGATGGTTCAGTGTCTGAACACATCCTTTTGCGTTTGCCTTGGTGAACGCAAAGGTTAAGGCAAGTTTTAGGGCTCTAAACTGCGATTTCCCAATTAATTTTTTAAAGTATCTTTATATTGCTATCACTGCTTGTGGTGGAATGCAGGAATCCCTGTGGAGCTGGAGGTTGGTGCAGCTAGGGGCAGCTTAGTCCTTTCCTGTAAACAAGTGTACTTGGCGGGGAGTTTTCCAAAGTACCTTGTGGGTATTCGCAGTTCAGTCAGAGAGAAAACGAAAGTTTCTAAGCCTGGGGAACAGTTGGGAAAGAATGTAAATAATTCTTTATCTCTCTTGTTGTTCACATTGTGTATAGATAAGTTCTGCCACTGTGCGTCATTCACTGCAAACCAATGATGTGCGATGTTTCTACTTCAGGACCAATAGAATTGGTCTAGACAAGGCTCTCTATAAAAAGAATGGTGTATTTGAAATAAATCAGAGTTCTACTCTCTCACCTTCTGAAGTGGAGTAATTTCATACTGTCCTGCCTCAACAGCGTCAGTACCTAAGTGATTTAGGATTAAAAAATCTCAATTTCATTATTTCCATGCTCTGGAGTCAGATAAACATTTTTCAAAGTGTGATTCTGTCCTGCTTTTTGCAATGCTATCTGCCACAAAGACAGCCTCTTTTTTTACCTATCTTGTTCCTCTTTTTCAGGTTGGCCTTCCTTTTATGATGTGATCAGTCCTGATGCAATTGCTTTCAACGATGATTTCTCCTATGGGATGCATCGGATTGAGATATCCTGCAGTCAGGTTAGTTTATAGCACACACAGACCATTCCAATGGCAAAGACTGCAAAAACCATTACAGTGTGCTGTACTTACCTTGAGATTTGCAAACCTTTAAGTTCTATTAAATAGTAATAATTGTGAGAGAGCACAATGGGTCTTAGGTATAAAAGCTAGGTGGAACGAGCTGAAGGCACAAAGGGATCATTGGAATGCATGTTGTTGTCTCATGTGAGATTTAACAGAGCAGATGTAAATGGTTGGACTCAGTGCTGAGTGTACAAAAATAGTCTTCCTGAAGAGGGTCCCTTCAAAGGAGCTCCTGAGCCTGAGCCTGTCCAACTGACTCCACATGTGAGCAGTTGAGAGAAGTCGAAAGCAGTGGAGCAACTGTCGGTGTGCTGATTCAATCACTCTACATTACTGTGCATCCATGCTAACTTGTTCCCAGCACTCATTCCCAGCACAGTCCTAATGGCTGCCTCAAATAATCCCATCTGCCTTAATAATTAAGTCAGTAGTCATTCAAAACATGCCCAAATTTTCCGTTAATCTGTCTTGTTCTACTTTCTCTCATCCTTTGTGCTGCCCTCCTTTCTGTGAAGGGAATGGCATAATCATTACCTAGCAGAGGGACCTTGCAGTCCTCTAGCTCCACATTCTCAAACTCCTCCTGAGAGAAGCAGCAGCTCCATTTGGGCAGTGATAATTTGCTGTTCTTCCAGCGTTGTTGGGGTGTAACTGATTTTATCCCTGACCATATGCATCCTTACTAGTCAGTCAGACATCATTATTTAAGGCTCAGAGTGAGTGGAGAAACTTCTCAAGAGTATCCCGTAACTTCAGTCTTCATAGAGCATTTGGCCCAACATGTTAATGACCAAATTAGCATGTCTGCTAGTTTGTTATGTATACTACATAATTCTGAAATTTTTACAGAGATGATATGCTGTAGAAGAGCTATTCAACACTTTGTGGGAATATCCACTTCACTAAATTTGCTAGGAAGGTAACAATGAGACTGCAGATTGGGAAGCTCATGCTTCAGCAGGTTACTGGCATAATCAAAAATGCAGTTCAGTCTCTTTAGCTCTGCTTAGTAGACCTGAACAATGCTAAAATCTGCTTATTGCCAACTTGCTGAGCCTGTATCTGCTGACACACTTCAAGAGATGGCCAGAGTTCCTGGAGAAGCCCAAGGAAGCCTGTGGTCAGCCAAGAAATCTGGGAATGTCATTTTCTGTTACCAAACAAAATAGTGTTAAAAGACCTGAGACCAGTAATATTAGCAGCAGTCACATGCAGACACCATAAAATCAAAGCAAAACAAAAATCTGAATTTGAAGGAAAAAATATGACCATGGTCATAGTTGCTGTATAATCCAATAGCAACTTCCTACCAACTATTCCAACTTCTTGGGGCAATAATTCCACAGATGATCAAGTCACACAGGAAAATAGCTTGAGGAGTGGTAAGCATCTTTGCAGGCAGTGCTCAGCACAGCTAATACTGCTCCACTGTGTATGTGCCCCTGGAGTGTGAATCACACACACAGCTGAAAAAAAAAAAAAAAAAAAAAAAAAAGTAGTTTTACTGCAACCTGCAAAGCAGTGTGATTGGTATGATAAACCTTGGTAGAACAAAAGGGAAATACCATCTCCCACACCCAAAACCTTATTAATCCTTTGCAGATGAAAAAGTATTTGATTTTTATTTGAAAGTCCTTCCCACCTGCCTGAGACAATAAAAGAAATACTTTTTAATGTTCTTCATTATAAAAAGCAAACATAGGAGAAAAAAAGCACTGTAATATTAATCAAATACATCCATGGGATTATCCTAGAAATAACTTCCACAGTTTTTGGAACACACCCTGGGTGTATTTAAAAGGTCAGTGGTTAGTGACAGAAATCAATACAAATGCAGTTGAGGAATACATAAAACCTGTTGTATCTCTTTTTTTCCTCTGTCATCTTCAAGTGTCCCTTTCCCTGTGGTCTTCCTACCTACTATTTTTCCTGTACAAATCAATAAAATTCCATAGTCACAGAAGTAGTGTTTGCACACCAATAGCTTGAACTCAACTACAGCAGCTGACTGCAAGCTGCTTTCCATGCCTCCCAGCAGTATATTAGAACCAGGAGGTTTGGGAGATCCAAGCATACTGACAGTTAGCAGTGACCCCCTCCTTTCCTGCTCCCAAGCACATACTTGGAATGCTTTAACCATTTCACTGTCCCAGTTCATTTTGCCCAATATATTTATGTACAAAGCTTCAATAGATAACTGTTTCTTTTTCAGAGGCTCTGCAGGCATGTATATATGTCCTAGGAAAATGGTCAGCACCTATTATGTGTGGGGAGGACAGTAAAGTCAATTCATCCTTTGTACTCTTAGCTGAGTGCCAGGTTTCTTATACTGTGATACAAAGGACTGAAATACATTTCTGTTTAGGGCAGATGAGTTATAGAGTCCTCTATACAGAGAATCACCACATAAATTTTTGGTGAGGAGTAATCTCAAAAGGTAACAAATTTTGCAGTAATTAAATCCTGGAGTGATTCTGCCATCACAAAAAGGTGTAATGAGACTACTTTGGACTCTCATACAACTTCTCAGGTTTTGTGAGGAAAACCTTTTTGATAGATTGTCTTTGTAGTCTGTGTGTGAACATATTGCTTCTATAGACCATTTCTTTCTGCAGTTTCTCTTGTTCTGTTTCTGTCCAGTAGAGAGGGAATGATTTATCTTTTGTTAAGTATTAGTCTGGAAAATATCTGTTTAACACTTCCAGCCAGGAGGTTTTGAAGCACTCTTAGTTGAGATGAGATGAGATGAGATGAGATGAGATGAGATGAGATGAGATGATTTAATTAGGATGCTGAGCATTTAGAAGAATACTCCCTCTGGGACACTTACTTTCTTCCCCCCCCCCCCCCCCCCCCCCCCCCCCGGAAAGGTATGGTTATAATCAGGTGAAATGCTTCATTGTTAGATACCACACTTTCAGAAACAGCTCAGGTTTTTTGCACACACTAATGTAAAAAGGCCTTCGATATAAAGGAAAATGATAAAAATAATAAGCAGTGGACAATGGAGGAATGGATGGCAAGACAGCAGTCTTTCAGGAAGAGAATTTGAAACTTAGTTTTCTCTAGGTCCCATTCTACTTCCTTTTATTTATTTCCTTTATTTTATCTTCCTTCCTTACAAAGCTGAGCAACTGCTGCTTAACCCAGTCATATGTGCTATTTTGCCTGTGGGAGTTCATTCTGTTCATACTGTGGGCTAGAAGCCCTTGGTTGTTATTGAGATCCTTGCTGGACTGCCATGGCTGTCTCAGTGACACCTCTGCAGGAGCAGGGAACTTGCTGTGGGATGAGGAATGTGTCTGCATGGGTACAACCAACAGGTGGGAGCACTGAAGCTTCCCATGTCTACCTGCTCTGCTCCTGAAGGCAGTGAAGATTATTGTTTCAGCTATTATTAAATCAGCAGAGTTCCTGTCCCACATAGCTGGTGTGAGATCCTCCCCCAGCCTTTCAGTCTATTTAGAAAGTTTAACCTGGAGGCAAAACTTTACCATGCTTCTACAGACACCTTTCCTGCTGCTTTGGTGAATTAAAGGCCGTAACAGCAGGAGAACATTAGCAACACATTAACTGCAGGGTAGAGATTTGCTATCACTAATTCATTCAGAGTTTGGAATAATCACTATTGCCTCTACGTATTTGGAATACTATGAATTAATTAAACGTTAAGAATGATTTGCAGTCTTTAATTTTTGCTGTCTGACTGTGAGCCCATGAGCAGGTCTGTGATCTCAATTGCATCATTCTGCCTCTCACTGAGATCTGCTGTTGACTTGAAAGGCCAAGGCTCTCTGGTAAAGCAGCATGACTTTCCTGTTCAAGATAAATATTTCTCCAGTGCAAGGTTTTATTTTTTTGTTTCTTATGGCAGGCTGTAAAAATGAACTTGTGGAATTCAAGTGACTAATTACAAGAATTTCTTATCCAGATAAATTGTCAGCCATAATGTGCAGTGATAGTAATCCTAATTTTTGAATAAGGATCAGCAGGGTTAGCTTCTTCAAAATAGTGTATTTGCAAAGCAGTCATTGTAAAGCAAAGAACTGTTACCTTTCTTATAGACAGGATCAGAAGTGTTCACCCTGAATAGCACTGCAAGTATTTGGGTCTGATTCATACAGAGAAAAAGTGTCAGCAGACCATTTGTACTTTCGTATTCCTTACAGAAGCAAAATTCAACATAATTTATAATTACTCCCAGATAAAGATTATTAATTAAGAAATATTTTACATATCTGCACTACAGGTCTTTTTCAGTCACCTGTCCCTATCTTGTATGTGCTATAGAAATTATTATGAGATGAGTAGGTGAGCTCCATCCCCTCCAGGGGCAGGAAGTGCACCCAGAGGGATCTTGATGCTCAGAAGAGTGTCAGGCTGTAGAAGGGGGAAAAAAGAAAGAAGTGTGAGAACACACTCCAAAGAATATCTTTAGTGCTTTAGGTCCTTGCCAGGATGACCAAAGGGTTTAAGTTATTTTACCAAGGGTTGTAGCAGATGGTTGTAGGCTGAGGAGAGCCCAGAGCTGAGGCTGTCCCTTTCTTACACAGATATCCTTACAGCAGTAAGTGAAACATGGCAGTGCTGTCCTCACCACCATGTTCTTAGCTGTGCTGCTGCCATGAAAGCATTACAAAAACAGGCAGATCCTCAGATGGTCCAACCAAGCATATGCAGTGGTATGACAGGAAACACCCAGGAAATTTGGTCTTGGAGTCTTAGGTGCCTGTGGTATCTCAGATCACCTTCCTGGATCACTCCTGCAAATAAATGTAGATTGTAAATCCCACTTGGAAGGGCGATGTAGGCACCAATGCGCTTCCTTGGAAGCAGCTGCTCATCATTGCTTACCGCCACAGGGATGCCGCCGAGGAGCAACACACAGACACAGTGATCCTCTATTGTGTTTTGTTTCAGTGTGGTGCTCACCTGGGGCACATTTTTGATGATGGACCTCGCCCAACTGGCAAACGGTACTGCACAAACTCTGCTTCATTATCTTTCAAGCCAGCAGACAAGAACAGCGCTGGAGAAGGCAGCGTTAATGCCAGTCCTGCCCAAACAGGCAAAGCTGAGCTGTAGGATGAAGCAAAGCCTGGAGAAAACTGCGTTGATCCCACACAGCTTACAAGGAATGTTTTCTAGTTTTCAAGTTGCCTGCTCTCTTATATCCTAAGAATGTTCAAATGTATGAAAGCATTTTGCACCATCCTTCTTCCTCACCTTTTCAGAACTGAGGCCTTTCCTACCAGTGCATTTACGGTATAATTGGATTGAAAAATGTATTGACTGAGTCCACAGGTTTTCTTTTTTCTTCTTTTCTTTGAGATTGCTTTGGGGAATCTTTAAATTGAGAGGTTTTTACATCATTAGTTGTTAGTTTATGCTTTATACTGTGTTATTCTAGGTTTACACACTATTCGTTTTTGCCTGGGAAATAGGACTTGTGTTTATCTCCAGTCTATAGGAAACTTCTGGGCATAAGAAAATTCTGAATTCCTAGCACATCTCTGCTTTGTTCTGACTTGTGAGGCATGCAGCCTTTGGTCACATGTATCCAACCATCTCCCAGCATCAGCCGCACCTTGCAAAAACTTGTAGTTATGGCTGTTCCTTCCCAACTGAAAGAGGTGGATGAGATGTTAAAACCATCCTTTGGCTAATTTACTGCCAAAATTTCAAGGGTGTGGTTGAGAGGATGTAAACATTGTCTCAGCATCTGTGTTTCCCCTTTGTTTGGTATTTAAATCAAGGTTTTAACTAGTAAGGCTCACTTTTGCAGGCTACTAATGAAGCTTTGTCTGTTTGTGAGGCCTATTCAACAAGTGTAACGCAAATCTGAATTAAAGTTGAAATCTGCAGGGAGTAATTATATGGGCAAGTGCAGAGATAAACTTGCAAAGTGAAGTAGATGAAGGATGACACTAGGCTCTTTATCTTGTCGGTTGCTACAAGGATTCAGAAACATGACAGTTTCTGCTAGAGAGAAGTTTAGGAATTCATGCAGCGAAAGAATGAGACCCTCCTGACATATCCAGTTTTAAAGATTAGGTGGTCTGAATGCATACTGCATACAAGATCCAGTCTTTAATTTGTGCAATAGCAATGTAGTGACATGAGTGACACTGTTGGTGTAAGAATTAATTTGAAAAAAGCCTGTCACAGTTCCAGAAATTTTCATGTAGCAAAATTCACTGTCCCATGAGATGTTTTTCACAGCTGCTTTTCGATTTTTTTGAATAACACTTAGAATTGTGCATAATACTGTTCTTTAAGCTAAACTACACGGTATTTGCTACCACTTTGCCTTTAAACACTGAGAGACTTAATGAATATGGTATTTACTTCTACTAGCAAACTTTGTGACTAACGTGTTTGGATCCAATTTTTTTTTTTGTAGGAACAAAGCAACCACTGATTTTTATGGAAGCAGGATTGAGGTTTTTATGTCAGTGATAATAAACATATTATCTAAAGTTCAAAAACCCTTCAGTTAAAATATAGCTACTGTGAAAGCATATGGAATGGTCATAATTTCCTTGTTTTTAGCAACATTAGAAAGACATGAAAAAACATTAAAAAGGCAGCATCTATAAAAACGTGGTATATAAATGTGGTTTAATTCCAGATTGCTGTTCGATTTAAGTATTATTAAATTTCAGTATATTCTTGCCTTATGTTAAAGAAATATATTAGTTAAGCTTCAGAACACAGTAATGTATGCTGTCCTACAGAAGATTTATTTTTGCAGGATATGGAATGCAATGAAATGAATCAATATGGTGAGGTGTATGTGATCTCTGGGAGTTAGATCATTTAATATAGGAAATGCATTGTTCTTGTGCACAGGCTATACTGCAGCCCAGTGCAAGGTAAGACAGATTTCCTTTTATTGCTCTTAGAAGATGCTAGTAAAGGCTAGTATTGAATCCTCCAAATTTGGTTCAGTCTGGTGATGATCATGACAGAGGAAATGTTGGAGCTGAGCACAATGTATGGAATAATAGAATATTTCTGTATGTTTAAATTTTGCACTGTCTAGATGCTTATAAAAACTGAATGCAAACTGTGTAGAAATAGAAAACTATATTTTCTAATATCTCTATTTTACTCAGATGTTTAAATAAGATACCTTAAAAATCATGTAAGTCACACGTTATTTATATATACTATATATATATAAAATTGCACATTTTTTATATATATATATGTACACACACATATATTATTTGAGTATAATTTTAGCCTTCTGTACCTTTATAATAACTAAAACCTTTCCATAAGAGGGTTCAATACTTTTAATAAATCAAATATACATTTTTCAAATCAAATTTGTTTTCATATATTTGCTGTACACAAATATAAAATAAATTTCTTTATAAATAATTCTGTTCTGCTTCCTTATTTATCTGGTTTTAGGTCATGTTTCAGCATCCTTCGCTGCAGGGTGTCTTAGGGAACTGCTTTTACTTTGCTTTCCCCTAACTTACTGTGAATATTATACATACAGTGTCTTATCTCCAGCAGGTTTCTGGCAGGGACACAGCACTGCAGGGTACCAGGTATCCTTGCACCTACCAGCTTTCAAGAGACTATCACAAATACCCAGGCCTCAGCAGAGCAAGGAAATTTATAGAGAAAGGCTGAACCTTAGCAAAAGTTTTAGCCTCTTCCGAAAGATTCAGTGTGGGATGTGGTAAGTTGCAGGCAAGCAAGTCATAGGAGCCCTGCAGTGCTCAGGCTCCATCTGCAGTGGAGAAATGTATCTGGCAAGCTGGTTTCTGCCAAAATTTCATCTCAAAGGATGCAGGTTTGGAGTACTACTGCACAGGCAGCAGGTTATTGCCACTTGGTAAATCAGCTCTGCAACAAGTTTTAAAAGATAGGTGTAAGGGAGGGGTAGGAGTTGCAGGCTATGCTTAAGCTGGCTTCCATGTTTATGTTTGTGGAAACCAGAGTTACACTGAAATTAAATCCCTTGCTAATTGTTCTCAAACACTGCCAAGTGTCTAGATGACACACTGCACACCCATCTACAAATTTAGTATGATCCCTCTTAGTCCAGAAATTAATCTCTTGGGACTCTGTGTCCCACCCATCCACTGTACTTCCCTCTCAAAAGTTAGTAGTTTGATATGTCTTAAATGAGGTACTAACCTGTGCCCACTAAAAGGCGATGCAGGGCTGGATGCCACGTGCTGGCTTTGCCCTGTGGTCCCAGCACAGCCTGGCCATTCTGTCAGCACCCAGAGGTGCTGTGCTGAGGCAGATCTTCAGAGGCATTCATCCTTTTGGTGCTGCTGCCCTGGCAGCAGACACCGGGGATGTCTCTGTGGCCCATCTAGCTCAAGGCAGGCTGTGTCTTGCAGTGCATGACATGCAGTTTTTCTTAACACGTGTGTACCCCACCACTTCAAAACCAGAGAAATATCTAGTAAGAGACACTCTCCCAACTGCTCCTAGGGTGCCCCAGCCACAGAGTGGGAGAAGCAGTGGTGGCAGGATCAGCCACACGAGGCCAGTTAATCATCTGCTTTGAGATTCTCTTGTTGCTACAGCTTTATGCCTTCCATATATAAAAGGCACTTGAATCATAAGCCTTTTTCACAAGCTCGACCTAAAACAAAACCCCAATGTGTCTATATGAGGTATTTAAAACTGAGGCCTTACCAGAGTGACTACAGCACAAAAATAAGACGACATCTTAAGTCAGGGTTTCTGTTGGGGTGGCAGCAAAGAATGTATGGTCACAAACATGAGGCCAAGTGTGGATGTGAATGTTGACAGTCAGTTGTACTGAATAGTCTCAGTCTTATTTCAGTTAACCTTGTTTTGTAGTCCATTTACCCAACTGAATTTGTGTAAGACCTTCTCTAACAGAATTTGTGATACACATTCATTTTTTCTTAATGTTCTTTCTGTTACAAAATGTCTGTGCTAATGTCACTGCATAGCCAGCAATCCTCTTGTCCTTTACCCATGGTCTGGAAGGGAGAGGGAAATAAGGATGAAAACAAAACAGATGTTTGCAATTTCTGAATTACAATCAATGATTTGATATATATACCCACTTTTTATAAAATGAATGGCAGAGTATTCAATAGTACCAGAAGCAAATTTGTCAGCTACCAAGTAGAATATGACAAAATGTTGCTTAGCACATGGGGGAACTGGATTAATACTTCTTGTTTTATTGACTATTAAAATGAGGCCACCTACAGGTCCCACAATAAACCTGCAAAAATGTCTAATCCTATATGTGTGAAGACCTGCATTCCAGTCTGGCTTGCTCCCACTTTGTTGTAAAGAGAAGTCATGCACCACAGGGCCTGACTAGGATTTTCAGATCAAAGCCATGACAGCAGCCAACAACTGTCTTCCTTTCACAGTCACTTAAAAAACCACAAAGATGAGGTAATACTTGCAAACATGCCCAAGTGAAATCACTGTAACAGACAAACCCCAAGCAATGTAGGCAGGTGACACTCTGAAATCCCTATACACAGGCTACGAGTGTAGTATTAAGTGCACTAAACAAAAGGGTTTTCATTATGTCCACATATTTTTGGGATCAGTACTCACTTGAGCAGCCCAAATTAAGCAGGAAAAATACAGGAGCCTTCCCCAAAGACCTCCTAGGACTTGTAGCCAGTCTACTCAGACATTTTGCTTAGCCAATATAGCCAGCAGAAAAGAGAAACAGTTACAGAAAAGAAAAGACATTATAAAGGCTTCCATTTTCAAAGTCATGTTTTATTCTTGTTAGATAGCTTGCAAACAGGTAAGACATTTCACTCTGCAGATGTCTTAGCCAGTGCACTCTCAGTTTTTTGCTCTTTGTAGTTTTCCAGACAATGGCACATTATTATTTTCTTTTCACTGTGGAATAAAAACTGTCTAAACTGTTGCTTCATCTTGGCTTGGACCTTTTACTTCTCACTTCTTGTATGCCCAAGTGAAAGGAGTATCTGTTCCCCAAAATTCAAACAATTGCCTGTTGGCAGTATGAGAGCCATGACAAGTTGTATGTGCCCACCTGCTGGGAAAAGTAGCAGTTCTTTGGAAAGCAAATAAAATACATCTTTGTTGGCCTCTTAAAGAGGACAAGTTGATTTTGTGTGTGGGCTGGTTAATGTTCATGTTTTTCCCGGCTGTCCTAAAGCCCTTGTTCTTATATTTCTAGTATTGTTTTGTCCAGTTTACAACTTTATTTTTGTATGTTTCATAGAAACACAAACATCTGGAAAACATCCTCCGGTATAACTGCTGGGCAGTGCAGAAAATATCTGATGTGATCTGAAACAGCTTTTTCTTCCCATGAAAATATACCTCTGGGACTGGGAAATTTCAAAGGTTGGTAATGGTGTAGAGATCCTTTCACCTCCAGAACTCCACTTCACATTTGCCCTAGGTCTCTAACAGCCAGCATCTCTGGTGATTTCTTAGCTGTTCACTGATTTTTTTTTTTTTTTTGTGAAATCAGTTGGATCAGTTCATGGAGATCACTGTGGCAATGATGCTATAACTGGTGAGGAGATTGAATTCTTTGCTGTAAGAACAGTTGATTTCCATATAGAGATCAGTCAGGAGATGGAAGGGTACATGGAGGGTGGGAAAAGGGAAAGAGGAACTTGCATTTTGCCCCATGCTGTTTGCACCTCTGATTCACCTTAAATTGCATGGATTTCCACCATGGCACTATTAAGATCACATTTAACTCAGGACAATCAAAATAACACAGACTTATGAAACCCTGTAAAAATAGGTCCTAATTCTTAACCTAGTTTTGGTATGTGTCTAACATCACTTACTTTAATGAAAAGCTCCTATAAATCTGAAGGGATGGAAAGAACTACTGGGAAAGGTGTCTCAACATACGTGAGATAAAATATTTTCAAGAATCCTTAAAATCTTTGACACGAAGATGGGGCCTTTGGAAAAATCCTACTTCCTGACATAACTAGTTCAGAGAATTTAAGTCCTAAAAGCCATGGACCATATTCTCAAAAGAGAGATTTGTACCACAAAAGCCCAAACTGCTGACTCCTCAGTGCCCCGGATGCCTCTCTGCATGCACCCCCACTGCTCTGTTCGCATGCCTTCCTTTACATGCTGCAGAAGGTAGTTGCAATCACATTATTTTCATACACTCTTGCTGCTTGAGCCATGTTGTACTGGATTTGGAGAAAAGTGATCGTTTTATCTTGTTCCTAGTTTGAACAATTTCTTGGGGAAAATTGAAACAGCTTGGTTTTCCCCCAAAGCTGAGAAAGGTCCAGACAGTATCTGGAGTTCGTTGTCTTTATTTTGTCAACTTCGGCTTTGTGGGCTACCACTAGTCCCAGCAGTCACCAGTGACCATGAATTCAGCATTCTCTGTTGATAAATTACAGTTTTATCTTTGTTTGCCTAGGGCTTTTAGTAGCCTGCCAACTCAAAGCCATTGCCTAATATATCATTAGAGGGCAAATATGTTCCTATGTATGTCTGTGGCGTATAAGCAGCTCCTACCACAGCCTGGACATTCCAGCATCCTGCTGAGGAAGGAAAGCAGTGCCTTAAATTATTTAGGCTGGAGATTTTTCTTTTCAAATAAAATATTTTTTTGTTTTTCAAGGTCAGACACTTGGGGCTGTTCAGGTCACAAGACGCCAGAGACTGTTTACTTTGGAAAACAAGGACATCCACGGTGGGAGGTGCTTTTAGCAACAACCAAATCTGGTGTTTTAAACCAAACAGAAGTCTGGGCAAAGGGCAGCTTCACTCATCCTTGCTGACACCATGACATCAAGGGAGAGCGTCCAAGAGCTGACTAATGCACATGCAACAGGGATGATATTTAGTATTCTCACTTGTGAACTCAAGTACCTCAAAGCATGTGGAAGATTCTCAGATGAGAAGAATAAATATTTTGTGTTGACTGCAGTCAGCGTTTACAGTGGAAAGTGATTTCTTGAAAGGCTAAGACAGTGCCCAGTAGTGGGTTTTATCTAAAAGCATTTTGGTCATAGTGGAACAGCATTTTTCCTACACCCAGATTTGAAGTGATATGTAGGTTTTACACTTTCCTTTGGGTATTTTATTTCATCTTTCAGTTGCTTAAACTATTCAGGCTATGGAGATTTCTAAAAGTCAGATTTTCTCCTCAGTCACCAGTAGAAAAAGAGAATAAATTATTCTTTAATAAGCTGATATTGGGTGGCAAGAAAAAAAATTTTGTGATAGGTTGTTACTATTAGTACAAATGGAGGCACTTTTAGGTACAGTTTTGCAAATGCCATTCCCTTGTGAATGGCATTGCAGAGCTGAGGCTGACTGAGCAGAATGCGCAGCTTTGCCTCTTCTTGCTAACTGGCCAAGCCTGCTCTGTCTAAGGGTACAGGAAT